TCGTCCCCAGCTGCGCGCAATGTCGAAGGGCTCCTGGCAGGCCCTGCCCGGGCGGTCCCTCGGCCGGGAGCTCTCACAGCTTCGTGGCTTGGACGTGCACGAAGAGCGTGGCCGGCGCCAGCGACGCCCCGTCCCGGGAGAGCAGGTGGACGTGGCGATACCCTGGGAGCAGAGGGAGGCAGCAGGTGAGGCAGGGACACAGCTCCCCCAGCCCTCCACCCCTGCAGGCAGAGCGTGGCTTGGCTCCCCACCCCCATGCACGCCTGGTATCTGCTATGGAAAAGCAGCCACCGCGGGGGCGGGGGGTAGAGGGGCCGGGCTGCCCAAGGAGAGCAGGAGGGAAGTGGGAGGGCAGGCCCTGTGGGCAGGCTCAGTGCCGGGCGGGGGGGCGTGGAGGAGCGTCCCTACGCGCCGGGCGGCCCCTCACGAGAGATTCAGGTGCTGCCCAGCTGATCAGCAGAGCGCGCCACTGGTCCCTGTGTTGTTTCTATGGGTGGTGCACACTGGCACATGCCTCCGTGCACAGAACAAAATTATTCCGCACATGGGTGGAAAGATGAGGGGCCATCGGCCGGGGTCCCCGGCCTGAAGTCAGGTGGCTGGCGAAGAAGGTGGCCGGCACTCTCTGCTCTGTGCCTGGCCGCGTGCAGCAAGGGGGGTGTTCTGCGGTGCTGCGGGACAAGAGCGGATCACAGAGCCTGATGGAGCCAGGCCTGCAGCGGGAGTCACTGGGCCAGCGGGACTGATGCACCAGGGAGAGCCCTGCTGAGCTAGGGGGGTCCCCTCCAATGCCCCCCCCGTGCCTCCCAGCTCTCCCATGCGCTTCCTGCCCCAGCGCCCGGCCTGCCCCGCACCCACCTTCTCTCAGGCAGCTGAAGGGCAGGGTGAACTGCCCCACAAAGTCATTGCAGGAGGTGGTGTCATAATCTTCCACCACGAAGCGCACCAGGGCCAGCTCTGGCACCTGCAGCTGGAAGCTCAGCGTCTCCTCCCAGCGCGGGTTGAACCCTGGGGGGCGGGGGACAGGCAGGGTCACAGGCTGGGCCAGCTGCCCTGCGCCCCCTGCCCCCCCGAGCATCAGTCGCATGTGGCGCCACAGGGCTGCACCCTCGGGGGTCCTCAGGCTCCGTCACTGCAGGGGAGCTGCTAAGGCCCCAGCCCGGACTCCAGCTCCTTGCCCCACAGCGGCTTCTGAGAGAGCTGGGAGGGCTCTTCTGAAATACAGCTGGGGGGGGGGTTCTCTGCCCCATGGGTGATTACTGCCTTGGAGCAGGAGGATTTCCAGCCCTGCTTTTCCCAGCTAAACACCCAGGTCCACTGGAATCCTGCCAGGCTCTTAGGCCCACAGGTGTCCTGTAGCAGGGAGTCCCACAGGTTAATCAGGCATTATTTTTATTTCTCAGGGGCAGGGTTCCCTGTAGGCTGGGGGCTTGGGCGGCCACTCAGGCGAAATTCAAGTGCAGCCCAGCCAATTAGAAAAGCGCCCACAGCTCGGTTTTGCTGTCTAGGGGTGGTGCACATCCGCACATGCCTTGGTGCACATAAGAAAATCCATTCTGCGTGGGGCTGGAAAAGACGAGAGGGACCATTGCTCAGGGGCAGGGGCTCCAGCTCACTAGCCAGCCCGAGACAGGTGGGCCCTTCCCTGCGCTCATGGGGAATGTGTGTGCGTGTGCGAATGCGAGTGCGTGTGCGTGCGAGTGTGAATGCGTGTGCGAGTGCGAATGCGTGTGCGAATGTGTGTGCGAATGCGAGTGCGTGTGCGAGTGTGAATGCGAGTGCGAATGCGTATGCGAATGCGTGTGCGAATGTGTGTGCGTGTGCGAATGCGAGTGCGTGTGCGTGCGAGTGTGAAGGGCACCCAACGACAGACCCAGCAGTGCACTGGGGCACTTCTGCACTAACCCTGTGTGTGCGAGTGCGAATGTGTGTGCGAATGCGTGTGCGAATGTGTGTGCGTGTGCGAATGCGAGTGCGTGTGCGTGCGAGTGTGAATGCGTGTGCGAGTGCGAATGCACGCACGTGTTAGTTAAATCCTGCACTGGAGCTAGTGAGGCCCTAGAGAAGATTTTGGCTAATTTCTCTTCCCACCTCCTGCTCGGTCAGATTTAACAGCAGCTGGAGAACAGAAGAGCGACCAGGCCGGGGCAGACCAAAGGTCCACGTAGCCCCGTGTCCTGGCTGCCTACTGCGGCCAACACCAGCTGCCCTGGAGGGAGTGAACAGAACAGGGAACCAGCCAGTGATCCCTCCCCGTCACCCATTCCCAGCCCTGGCAAACAGGCTAGGGGTGCCATGCCAGCCTGGCTAATAGGTGGTTTAGGGCTGATGGACCTGTCCTCCATGAATGCATCCAGCTCTTTTGTGAAGTCCTACTCATCACCACATCCCCTGGCGAGGAGTTCCACAGGTTGACTGTGCACCGATTGAAGAAAAACTTCCTTTGGTTTGTTGTAAACCTGCTGCCTGCTGATTTCATTGGGTGACCCCTAGTTCTTGTGTTATGGGAACAAGTAAATAACTTTTCCTTAGTTACTTTCTCCACGCCAGGCACGATTTTATAGCCCTTGATCATAACCCCCCTAGTCGTCTGTCTTCTAAGCGAAAAGTCCCCGTCTTTGGAATCTCTTCAGAGGGACCATTTCAAACCCTCAGCACTGTGTGTGGTTGCCCTTTCCCAAGGCCAGTGTATCTTGTCTGAGAGGAGCCGGCCCCTCTGCGTGCAGCGTGCCGGCTGTGGGCGTGCCAGGGATTTCTACAGCGGCAGTAGGATGTTCTGTGTTCTCCTCGCCCCTGTCTAATGATTCCCAGCGCGGTGTTTGCTGGGTCAGCTGCTGCACAGGGAGTGGATGTTTTCAGAGACCCCTGACTCCGAGCCAGCTGGAAGCCCAGGCTGTCCAGGGGGCTGCCCTTGACCGAGCGATCCCCAGGGCCGTGGGGGGCAGCACAGCGGCTGACCAGGGCGGAGGAGCAGAGCCACGGCAGGGGCGGGGTGCTGGGTTCCCCGCTGGTCCCGGCCGGCCGGGGGACGGCCCGAGCCCCCTTGAGCCC